CCTCCTTTGAGCAGACCGTCCACGTGTCCACTCACCACCAGCCTACCACCACCAAATCATGTCCACTGATTTTCAGCAGCTAAACGCAAGAACAAGTAAGCTCCCAAGCAGCAGTAAGCGACAGCAGCAGCAGCAGCAGAAGAGAAGTTTCCGCAGAGGAGTTTGTAGTCCTCAAAATCACCGACAGCAAAAAGAACAACAACTACAAGGACAGCAGCAACAGCAGCATCCGCAGTCGGGCTTGCTAGTCTTTTTGTACCCTAGTTCGTTTAGTCATCACCACCACCACCACTTTGATTGTAACTACGAATAACAGACAAACAAACAAACAAACAGAAACGAGTGAAACAAAGACGTTTCCCCTCTGTGTGAGCTTGTACAAAAGAAGGACAGTCCTCTGTACCTGAGGAGAAAGAGTTCAAATTATCCCGTTTTTCCACCAACTCTTTTCATTTCATCTTTACAACTTTTGGTTTGAGTCACCAAATTAGCTTCAACCAGTCATCACTGATCACATTTACTATCATCATCTCTGTTTCTAGCTCTACCCCCATCAACAACAACAACAATTTGACCTGTTTGATTCTTGGAACAACAAAAACATCCAAGCACCACAACATTTTCTTTAAGTGAGAGCGAGAGAGAACGCGTGAAAACTTCAGCAATAAGCTTAGGGAAGAAAATCCTCTTTTACTCCCCTCTTTCACCTTCAACGAGCTTACTACCCTAAACCTAATCAGCTTAACCTAGAGCACCCCTTCTTCTGTTGGTGTTTACCAGCCTATCTACAAGTACTACCAAGTACAAAACAAGTGTGAATACTACTACTACTACTAGGACAAACCAATTCACGAGAATAATGGCAAAGAAGACTCGCGGCGAAGGAGGTGAGAAGCACGGAGGCGCGGAGAAGAACGGACGCAGCAGAAGCAAGCGTAAGTACAAATCGTGCACTGTACAGTGTACAGGCACTGATGAAACACAGTGTAACAGCTTAGAAAGCTTAGGCAAGGCAAGAGAGAAAGAGAGAGAGAGAGAGAGAAATAAAGAGAACGGCATTCCACGTTGCAGTACGTCATCAGCAGCAGCTGTACGGCGGCAGCTGTACAGCTGCTGCTGTACAATACACAGTCAGGCACAGTCGACAGTTCTGGAAAAGCGGACGGGTATGTGCAAAACAGAGAGTACATGCGGGCGCAAAAGAATATTATTATTCGGGCACTATCAAATATAGATTCTTTATTTTATGCTCTTTTTCAAATAAGCGATATTTTTGTCGGGTTCAGGCAAACACAACCTAAAACTCATATCTAAAACTTGAACTCACCAATTTTGCTTGTAGGTCGCGGAAACTACAACAAGGACGAAAACTCCAACTCGGACACCGATTCGGTGCTCAATGACACCGCCTCGGTCGGCTCGGGCTACAGCAGCGCCGAGCTGCGTCGAGCGAATGCTGAAGCAAATCAGGAAAACGGGGGCGCTGAAAATGGCGGCAAGAGCAGCAGCAACGGTCACCACCACCACAATGAAGACGAAGATGAGCACACCTTTGTCGAAGTTGATGACTTTGAGAGCAAGCTCGACCAGGTACTGGACTACCTGCAAGGGTCGGTGAAGGCGGCCAAGAGTCGGCTGGGACACTACGAGTCGCTGGCGAAGGCGCTTACCACCCGGTTCTGTCTGGAGTACCTCGATGAACGGTTAGTACAAATTTCCACAGATTTTGTACTTATTAAAACTATAACACCCCTTTCCACCTTCTTTACCCAAATCAGCAAAATCACCGTCCAGGACATTCTGGAGCACGGGCTGAAGCGGGCGGACGACGAGGCGGGCGCCGCCGCCGTCATCCTCAGCCTGGTGCTCATTACCCTCGGCAGCACCGACTACTGCGACGAACTGTACCGGGAGCTCTTTCCCACCCTCGACCGTCTCTTCATGGACACCAAGGCGAAGCCTCATGTGCGGGCCAAGTGCGCCACCGCTCTCAGGTACTTTTCTTGAGCCGAAGTTTTTTTTGCATTTTCACCTAATCCTCATTTAAATTATCTTCTTTTCTTTTTCTCAGCCTGGGCTGCTTCATCACCGACAGCGGCCTGGAGAAGAGCCGTCAGGTCCTGGGCCAGCTGCTCGCAGTCGGCTTCACCACCGTCAAGGGCCACCCTGACCCCGGCCAGCTGACGGCCATCGCCCACCTTCGGGCCGCCTGTCTGGACAACTTCAGCTTCCTCGTTTCGGTGGAGGCGGACGACTACCTGGTGGACGCCCTGGAGGAGAACATCGACCAGCTGGCCGGTTGCCTCGATTCGCCCTATCTGGGGCTTCGGGTGGCCGCCGGCGAGGCGATCGCCCTGCTGGTGGAGCGGGCCCGGGCCGCTGTGGATGAGGAGGAAGATGGTAACAGTCAAGATAATTTCTACCTGGCTCACTTCGATGAGATCTGCGCCAAGCTGCAGTCGCTGGCCACCGACAGCCAGAAGTCAAAGTCGAAGAAGGAGCTGCGCGAGCAGCGACTCAACTTCCGCCAGATTCTCAAGACGGTCGAGGGAGAGAGGTACGGCGAGGAGACGGTCAAGGTCGGCCACCAGGAGCGGGTGCTGATCGGCTGCTGGCAGAGTCGCCGCTACTACGACACCTTCTGCAGCGTCCTCGGCTCCGGCATGAGCCTCCACCTGACGCAGAATGTCCTGCTGCGAGATATCTTCGACATGGGCGCCGTGGCGCCTGAGCTAGCTGGTG